AAATTCTTCCATAAATCCCAAGCATTTTTATGCATCACATATTATCACACTATAAATGTAGTCTAAGTTGAGTGCTTGCTGCTTTGTTTCTACATCTTGTCTGTTTTTCTTAGAGAATATGAAGGGAAAGAATCATCTCCTCTTAATAATATTGTCATGTCTTGGAGAAGAATTCTCTTAAGCCAGATAGTCTGTTTGCTGAACACAGTTTTTTCTGGGATACAAAGTGTCATTTAGACATTTTGGCTTTGGTTTTGAAAACACAAGTCTTAGCTTATGGCAATTTATGTTCCATGGGCACCCACTGGCAGGAGACTGTTGGGTTGACAGGCCCTTAGCTCATTCTGCTGTAAAAAGAAGCTGCATTTTTTGGATTAATTTGGCTTCCTATGTGTGGCTGTTTCCCTGCTTTATCTCTCTGGTGTAATCCAGATCAGACTGTACCACAGTTCTCCCTGCTAGTGTCCTGAAATAAAAGATGATAAAGAAACAACACCAGAAGGTGATCACAAAACTATGAATGAGGATTTTCTGTAGATGTTGACTTTTAATGACCTCCCAATTACATGGTGTGTGTGTGTGTGTGTGTGTGTGTGTGTGTTTAAAGGCATTTGACATGCTTCTCTATGAAAGAAGTTTCTTTCATAAAAATGAAACACAAACCACTGGTATGTAGCTCTCTTCTAAAATAAACAACTAATTGAGCTTATCACTTTCAATAGTATGAAATAATTGCTGGATAAAAATTAAATAATTTGATTAATTTCAATATAGAACACATAAAGTTCATGGGTCCAATTCCTTGAAATTACAAAGAACATATTAATGAACCATAAAAATGAAATCTAGCAGAATTAATTGAAATAATGTAAATTTTTCCATTATGCTAAATCTTTAAAAAGGGCTAAAAGGATTTTCACAATCAAGACTGACAAGTTCTTATTCAAACTAGTTTACAGTTCTTCACTGCTTCTGGATTAGGACATTAGATATTTTAGGGAAATATGTGTATCTGCCAGAGATATGATTCAGGGGAGGTCACTCAATATCTTGGTTCCTTAGCTCAAACAAAAAAGCCAGTGCTTTTGTTTTTCTACCCTTTGTTTATCTGGTCTGCCCGTGGCCTGCTAGAAGACAGAAGGTGACTCTTATCACATCCTTACGCAACAGCTTAGAGAAAAGGGGTTTGAGCTTTATCCTTCAAGGCCTTGAACAGAACATGATATAAGCAATAGCTGAGATTTTGTAGTAGTGTTACTGTAGTAGTTCTGTGACTCCTTTTAAGAATGAAAATATAATCTATACACAAAGAATTCTGTTTTGGAGTACTTGGCAAATATGCTAAACATGTTTTCCAGTTTTAACAAAAGGAATATTGTAGATACCATGCTTTTGAAAGCAGCAGTTTTAACTTTCTTTGAACTAGCTTTCTGTAATATTCTTATCAACTCTGTGCCAAACACGCTATTTAATATCAAAGGTAATCAGCTGAAGCAACCCCTGCTGTCTTTATAGAGAAGCAAGTTGCAGTTTTTCACTGTTTTGATTTTTGGATGAATAACTTACTGTTCCTTTGTTCCTCTGAAGTACTTTGAACACTATGCAAACATATAAGGACCTTGGCCTGACATATTTACTGTAAGTTTTTTCCTTTTAAAGAATGATGGGCATTGGAGAATGCATCTCAATACTCAGCAACAAAGACATGCCTTAATTCAAACATGGTTCAGTTTTTTCTTTAGAAAAAAAACCTAAATAGACAGGGAGTTGTTTATGAACAAAAATGGAAACAATGGGGACTATCTTCCTATTAAGTTTTCTTGTGCTGTTGCATTCACTGAAAGTCTCTTAGGGTGCAGAGTCTCATGGGTGATTTTCCAGTAGCTGGGTCATTCGTAGCTAGGCTCTCATGGATGGATACTCAGATATCTAATAAAGGGGAAGTCTCTACCACAGCCTTTCTCTCTGTTGGCAGTGATAGGCCCATGTTTTCCTCTCCAGCCTGCTGACGTTGTAATATCTCATAGAATGCCAGGCCAGACTCAAATGTGGTTGAAATTGCAGTATTGATAGAGGTTTGCAGTAGGGAATGGGTGGAAATTCCTACCCACACATACATGAGACTGCATAATCCTCAGTGCTTAGGCAAACAGAGTAAAAGTTTAGTTAAAGAATTAGCCTGTGTCTAACCATATTAACTCTTCTGGCTAATATGGTTGAGCCAAAGGAGCTCAAGAAGGAGCACTAAACTAAATTTCCATTGGCCAGTTCAGCTGATAACCAAGTACCTCCCTTGGCCATTTTCAGGCATTAGCTGAAATCCCAGCCCTTGGCCCATGCTCCAAGTTTACAGTGAATTGCTGTAATCAGGCCAACAAGGTGCCCTCCTGGTAGAAACAGAAATAGAGCTTTGCTGCTCAGCCTCCAGCTTCTGATGTGCTGTAAAATGCCTGAGTGAAACCCACCACTTGTGTAAACAAATTTGTATAAGCGACGGGATGACAATCTGGCCTCACAGCACTACTGTAGCAAGTACCAGTAAAGCCCATTCAAAAACCAACCCCAAACAAACAGAACAAAACACACTCACTCCACTTGGTTCCTAAGAAAAGGAATGGCTTCCCAGCTCGAACTGCCAAGAGGAATGTGCTGTAAATAATTCTTTGGCTTCGACATGGTTTAACTACTACAGAGTCACAACTTGAAGAATTGACACCAGTTTAACTATGTCACTGCAATAGTGGATACACACACTGCAGTGCAAACTGCAGTGTCTCTTGCACAAAAGGTTTATAAATGATGCACTGCCAATTAGTGATCAATTGTGTCTCCTCAATTTCTAATTCATTATCTCTGTAATGGAACAAAATTGTACAAAGCATTTGTTTTTATGAGGCAAAGACCATCAAATATGGTAGCCAAGGACTTTGGAAACTATCAGAAAGAATGAAGTCCAGCTTCAGTATGAAGCTCTGTGTGAAAGCATTTAAAGCAGGTGTAAAAAGAAGAATGAAGCCCAACTTCATTCTGCTTTTTACACCTGCTTTAAATGCTTTCACACAGAGCTTCATACTGAACACATAAAGCCCAAAATCCCATCTGTTACTGTCTACTAAGACTATGTTTATCAAAAATGAAATAAAATTTAACTGTTAGAAAAGAGTTTGTTAACCCATCAGGACAGTTAAAAGACTCCCGTCTTACGTATCCTATGGCTTAATTACAAACACTGAGGACATGATAGGAAATGATCACCTCTGTTCTCATATGATTCCCCAAGTATTGATATCAAGCTACACACAGGTATTATCTAGCAAACCCTAAAAAGATTAATTGGTAAATCCCTTTGATTACATGGTAACATCTGTTGATTTTTTAAATGTTTGTCTACAGGACATAAATACATTCCTGATATTATAATCAGGAAACCAGAAGTCTCTGAGACAGCTGTTTACACTGTCAGAAAAAAAATCTGTGGAGTGGCTGATATCTTTGCAAAGGCAGTACACAAAGTGGATAGTTTTAGACTAAGATCATTTAAACAAAGGATAGAAGGTGAAGCAGTCATCCAAGGAGCCTGACATTGTGGATTTTTTGAAACAACCTCTGAGCTTCTCCAGTGGATTATGATTATCTGTATGAAAACAAACCCTAGTATATTAGATGGAATTTCTTTGTATGTGTCTGCCACTGACAGCCCTATGGGCCTGCCCTAGCCTGCTTTTCAGAAAGTGGAGTCAGACACTAATCATGTTGCCAAAGACGGTGTCACCTGAAGGAAGCATCTTAAGGTACTTCCATAATCCTTTTGGTTTCTCATTATAAAGCTAAAACCAGTCAGGTTCTATCACTGAATATGAAGATCTGTCTATATAATCATCTATACTAACCAATTGCTTAAAAAGAAACTCCTTTTTCTCAGAAATCATGGATAAACTGAAAATGCCTGGCTGAGATTAGAGTAGGGAATTATTTCTCAGTGCTGGCTTGGGTATAGAATAAGATGTTTTATTCCCTTTCAACCATGGACTTCCTACTGCCAGCTTATTACAGAACATATTTCTGATATTAGAGCAGGAAGAGACTTTTAGTGTCATGATCCTGTGAGGTATAAAAAGATCAAATTTTGAAAACTAGAGTACAAAATACCATTACTTGTTAGTTATAATCCTTTTTCTTTCCTAAATAGCTGGAAAGCACATGAAAAACAGTGCCAATACACTTTAAAGAATTGTTAAATAGCATTTCCGTTAAAAAGGGATTTTAAGGGCCATATAGCACTGTGGGATGTTATAACAATATAAAGGCATCTTGTAGAAGAGATATGGGAAATGGTTATAGACTTGATAGCTCTCAAATAATGTGCAGCCAGTGCAGCCTTTACATAGCATTCTGGAACAAGCTCCCAGCGAAAATGCATTATTATGTGGCCTCCTGTTACAGAACATATCTACACAGACTGATATGAAGAGGCACCATCTCCAGAAGAATGGCAACAAGCACAGCTGCATTACATAAAGGAACACCCTGAACCATGGGAGGAAAAGATTACACAGGTGCACTTTGCTGGTGCTTATTCTTTATGCTTTGTTGTTATTCTGCTTGTGCCTCCTGAGAGATGTGAGATCAGGCTCTTTGTGGGCTTCCCTGCAAAAGGCTTCCTGAGCTCTGAGTTCTGTGGGAGGACAGTGCTGCATCCCCTGCTGTGGCTGGAGGGCCAGCTGAGAGCCCCAGTCAGCCCAGTACACAGGTACATCATTTTAAGCTATGTTTGACACACTAGCTTTATTGCAAAAGTCCTCCTTGAGGCAACAGTAGAAGTCAAAAAGCAAAGACATGAAATTCAGAAAACCCTATCGGTATGAAATCCCTTTGCTCTCTATGCTTCTATGTACTGCTCTGCTCTTACTCCACCTCCTTCCTCCCATGCCCCCACTTCCCACCAGCTGGATCCCCTAGCCCATCTCTGGTGTAGTCAAACCCAGTTGCTCACAAAGGATGGCAAAAGGAAACTCAAGTAGCAGACGTGGGATCACCACCTTCTGAAGTCTTGTAGTCCCCAATAAACAAAGGTGGTCTTCAGCCCAGAGGTATGGTGGTTTTTATCCTGTTTCCTTATTTTCTTTTCTAATTGGTCCTTTCAGCTTATAGAGTTTTATCCTATTTTTAGAAGAGTGGAGAAGAATGAATGAAGGAGGGAAAAAGCTTCTGCACAGAACTGTTAAAGTAGGAGTTACCAGAAAATCATAAAAAATTAGAAGACTTAAAGTTTCTTAAATGGGAGGCTACATTCTGCAGCAGAGGCACCTTAAGATGTGCAGAAATTCAAGTTCAGGATGAAGGAAGAGAGCCTGGAAGTGTAACTGAAAACAGGCTTTGAAATGTGGCATTCACTGGCACTCCATCCATAGGATTGTTTTCAGCCTCTACAGATATATACACATGAGGCTATACATAATTTTTTAAGTGTGTGTTTTAAATTCAGACACTGAACAGTCAGCAATACATTTCAAATTTATGGGAAAAAAAAACCAACAAAACAAACAAAAAACAAATGAGATCAGAAAAGCCAGCTGTGCTTGAGCTGAAAATAAAAGATATATAAGCCTTCTTTAAGACCAAGCAGACTTCCCTGTGAATACAGACTTAGAGAAGGCTTCCAGGGAATTAAGGGTTATCTTTAGCATTTAAATTATAATTTTGGATTGCAAAAGATGTATCTGGCAATGATCAGGACTGGCAGTCAGGCTAGGAATTTGATATGCATTAAAAAGTGATGTGATAAAGGGAAAGCTCTGCTGTCAAATGTTACAGGCATCTTCATGTACTGCAGATTATCATATAATTCACAACTGTCTTTTCTATTTATATTCCTTCAAGCCCTTCATGGAATGAGAAATTATTTTAAGCTGGATGTAGCTGTTGAAAGCAAAGAAAATCCTGCCTTGTCAACAAAGGATTTACGTAAACATTTTCAACCTGATCCTTAGGTCTTGCAGATCAAGATATTATTAGTACTTTCAAGAACCATGAGATGAATTTCCCTATGTAAAAGAATATACAACCTCGTGAATAACAAGTAAGTTATGGAGCATTCATGTTGTGGTAGCAAAGCCTGGGGGTATTTTTACGTACAGCACTGTTTTTACAAAATATATCCTTTGCTACATAAGTTACCCCTAATGACAAAAACCATTTTGCCAGATCGAAATAAGTGTAGCTGTCTAAAATCTGTAAAGATACATATAAACTGTTCTTTCATTTAACAGAGTCATACTTTGAAAGAAAATGATACAGAATTAAATAAATAATTATTGTGCTTTTCAGTGCCCTAGTCACACAAATCTTTTAGGCTTTCAGTGTTTTAGTTGCTTTAAATGGGGCATATCTTGAAATGAAAATGAAATAATGATGAAACTTTAATTGATCAATTAAAATAATTTTTCATGGTTTCTAAATGGATCAGCTCTAAAATTACTTGTCTACTGAAAAAAACCCACTTTTTCAGAGCTGTTACCCAATATCACATTTCCAGACAATGCCTCCTTTGTCATCTTGTCCTGTTTCTTTTTCTCTTTCAAATGCCTACTGAACACAATTGCCTTTTGAACTTATTCGCTGAAAATTATTTATTCTTCTCTTTGGTAAACTTCAAAACCTTTCCTTCAGTAAATCTGAAGCAGAAGTCCAGTTATAGATAAATAACATTTAGGTCCAGTACACAATGCAACACTTGGGATATTTGAAATTAGGAACACATTCCATATATTCTGCCTTATCCTTAAGTCCATTTATAGCACTATGAAATATGGTATTACTAGGAATTTATTGCAGCTCAGACCTAATTGCTGGAAGAACATGGCTGAGACTCAGACCTGAAGAAATGGGTAACAATGATAAGCTGTTACTTCAGTTCATGTTTTTAACACATTTCTTCCTAGAACAAGTTTTTTTTTCCCCTAAATTACCTTGGCAAAAGTTTAGTCTCTGTTCTTAAATAAAATATTTACTATGATGTCCACTTATAGATTTTTAATTTTTCAAGGAAAAATATGAAATTTTTTTCTCCCTGATCTGCAGCACAGTGGCCAAACTCTTCTGCCTGAAGCCTGTAGAGCCAGCAGGAAGAAAGAAACTAGAAACCGAAATTTTGAATTTTCAGTGGTTCTGATATGAAAGAAAGCTTTAAAAAATTATGAAAACTGGAAAACTGTTTCCCATCAATGTGTTAGAAGCTTCACCATATACTGTTTCAGCTGCTCTGAGGAACACAGAGGTAAGGCAGCAAAATAAACATTATAGAAATGTATTATTATTTTGTAAATTTTCTCATATATATGCTCCTACTTTTATGGTTTAAACTTCATGTACTTATCTTAAACAAGCTCTGTGGTACTTTTAAACATGTGTCTAAAATCTTGTCCTCTGTGTATAAATCTTTGCTTTGAATGTTGTGGTTGGTCTTTCAGAAGAAACCAGTTACTGTCATTTGAATACAAACACATTAAGAAAAAAAAATAACACTTCAAGGTTAGTAGTTCCAACAAATTATTTATCTGATAATTGCTTTAGTTACATTTAGTCCCTTGTCTATTTAGATAGTGAAGTGTCCAGACCAGAAACTACATTTTACTTTGGATTAATAATGTATTAACATAATGAGTGATTGACTGACATTTGAGCCCCTTTGCATTGCCAAGATGTAAACTGAATGAAAACCACTAAGTCAGTAAGAGGACTCCAGGTAATGCTGTTCCTGTTTGAAAGCAGAGAAAGAAATATCTTCATGAAAATTGGTCCTTACTATTCAATGTGGTGATTATGCCAATGCTACATATTATCAGTGGAGACAGTAATTTGGTCTTCTCCCTCTATTCTGCCCATTTTTTGCACAAAAAACCCCACCTCATCAAAGTATCCTGGAGCTTCTTGGCTGTCTATTAAATTTACTGAAACTGTCCAACAGGTCCAAAAGCTGCTGGCTGGATTACTGACAGAGGGACACAGCAGGATTTCCTCAGGAAGTCAGGCTAATCAGATTGTTTAAAAAAATCCAAAGTGAATTACATTTTATTTTCAATTTGCCTTATATAAAACTAAATCTAATGGTTGCAGGACTAAGCCTTTTTCACCCTTTACGATTTTACTCCCCTCTCTCCTTTCATACAAATAGTTTAAATTTCCCTTCTGAGATTACTTTTTTCTCAAATTGTCAACTTGGCAACTATTTGAACTAATCCATTAAAAATCACACCTAAGATATTTCTTATTTTCCTATATAAATATGTGAAACATTAAAATATAGTTTCAATATGTATTTTTGTTGCTTGTTTCAGTTTTACAGTAGAAGTTCCACAAGCAAAATTTTTTTTTGGTGACTTTCTTGTCATAAAATGATGAACTATGGCTCAGTGTATGCTGACTTCAATTATTTTGGCTATAATTTTCAGGTAACTTAACCATAAAGGTATTTACCAAAATATGGAAAAATTAACTGTCTTCAGCAATGTTACATTGTTATTTGTATGAACAGTGCTCTTATAAACCTCCTGTGTTATAACCTTAATTACCTAATGGATAACATTGCCAAGTGTTTCAGATTGTTTTAATTAAATTAAGTGACTACAGGGGCATTTCCTTTTCACCTGCTCTGTCATTATTTAGCCAAAATAAACACACTTAATGCTGTCAGATTTCCATCATAAATTCCTTCCTTCAGCTTTACAATTTTATTTGTACAGATCTCCTAATTTCCTTTAAATTATTTAAACATTTCTGCTTTGTTTTTTCCCAGAACTAAATTTTGTTTCCTGTGCAGAAACCTGTGAGCACAATAAAGATTCTTTTTTGTTAATAATGAAATATCTGAGCCCCAATGTAATTTTACTTACTATCACAGCTCTGCCTTCTGTCTTCAACTCCTCCATCTTAACAGAATTTTAATCCACTTCCCACCCCACTGCTAATGTTCAGTTACCTTAACTTTTTTTTTCCATAATGGTAAGCAGATGAGAAGGGATTTACAGCTGCAACTTACCAAGAGTTCGGAAAGGTCTTTGGTTTGGTGTATGGGAGAAGAAACCAGGTTTCAAAGCATTTGTGATCAAAATGTCAAAATACTCTTCGAAATCATTCCTAGGAAGTAAAGTAAATGTGATTAAATAAACTAAAAAAATTACTTTAGATGTCATGAAATACTCTGTAAGACTTAAGAAAATATCAGAGTATTTCTTTAAGGCACTTGCTTCTGTCACTTTTTTTTTCAATGCTTGTTCAATGTCACTATTATTCTTCTTTTCCTGAGGTTGTCAAAAGAGAGTCAAACTCACAGTGAGTGGTCTTTGGGAACTCATTATTTGTAAAAAGATGTTCCTTGAACTCAGGAGAACATGTAACAGATGTCATTTTTTTCAATTTGAGATGGCAACATATGCACAACATTTACAACTTTCTGTCCAGAGACATGGACAGAAAGTTTAAATGAGGGATTTTCTTTTCAAATAAGAATATCTGAAGTAGGGGGTAAGAAGTAACTGAAGACACTTAAACACAGGTGTTCATATTGTTGGTATCCATACTGAAGGTATGCACAGCCCTAAGATGCCCCTGGCAGACAACAGAGATCTAATTTACATCCAAGAAAAACTAGACTGTAATTTCACACATTCCAAAACTGAAGCATCATTTTGATAGGTGAACTCCCTCTTCAGACTCTGCTGGCTGCTCTCACTGCTCTCGCCCTGCTGGTTCCAGGGAGAACATGTGACTACAAATAAACAGCGACCAGCTTCAAGTCTTCATCTGCCAGCTGTATCCCACAACTAAATTCAGATTTTTTGAACATCATTGGGCCCATATATACAGACTGCTTTCTGAACTGTGGAAATCCCATCAGTTTAAATGGGTTTGAATGTGTCAGCATGATATATAAGAAAACATTCCTCATCTATGATGTACTTTATTTTATTAGAAATATTTCATTGCTTAAGTGACTTCATTGCCTGCAACATCCAAAAAATGACGGATACTCTTGCATGGAACAAAGAACACAGATGGCAAGTCCAGGATGGACGCAGGCACTGAAATGTTATCAGCAGTAGAGGATGTTTGCTGGAAGTAAACCAGTTAACTATATCACTTTCAAATAATTAATGATCTTCCATGGGACTGAGATATCAAAAACGGAATGCTCTCCCTGTGAGAGACAGCTTTTGGGTTGTACTCCAAATTACATTCTAGCCTTGAAATAAAAGTCATTTAAATTTCCTTTCTCTAATGAAACTTTAGTTTTGTCTAATTTTTCTCCACTTGTGACCATATGTAAACCTTTGCCTTTTTAAAAGAAGCAGTATCAAATATTACAATTATGTGTTTTTAAAATTTGCTTCCATGTGGAAGATTCCAGATGCTGAGCAAGCGGGTGTGTGTGTGTGGGGGGGGGTGTCCTTATTTCAGGTGAAAAGTATCAACAGATATAAACTTTTCAAATTAGCATCTGATGCAAATAATCCATACACAGGTAAATTAAGCTTGAATTTGCAAAACAAAGGAAGTATTTCCGGAGCACAACAAATAACAATTAACAAGTGAGAGGATGAGAGGAAATGGCCTCAAGTTGCACCAGAGCAGGTTTAGATTTGATATTATGAAATATTTCTTCTCAGAAGGGGTGGTCAGGCATTGAAACAGTCTGCCTAGGGTAGTGGTGGAGTCACCATCCCTGGAAGCATTCAAATAATGAATGGAGTAGCACTTGGTGATATGGCTTAGTGGGGAACACAGAGGTGCTTGGTTAATGCTTGGACTCAATGATTTTAAAGGTCTTTTCCAACCTAAACAACTCTGTGATTCTCTGATTTGTGGGAAAAGTGAGTGCTTTGTATAAAAAAAATTGAACAAAACTGACTTTTCAGAAGAATTGGTAACTTTTTATTGCTCTGTTGAAAAACTGCTGTGTGTGAGGAGATGTTTTATCTGTGGCCTTTTTTGAAACAATATATTTAATCTCATGTACTAAGCTACTGTTTTTATGAGAGAATTTGTGTTACTTTATTATTTAACACTATATATAAAGCAAATCTGTTTCGCTTGCTGTCTGTGATTGGTAGAGTGGCCTGTGGTTACAGTAAGTAGCCAGCACAATGGGCAGGATGTATCTCACACACCTATCATAACTTTTACATCCTAAAAATTGCACTCTAAATTCAGATAGCAGTTGACACCACAGACAGAGCCCTTGGAGAAACATCCACATTCTTGAAAGGTAATTCATCCCATTTATTTCAGACATAATTCTACAATGCAGAATGAATTGCCAAGGATAATGCCCAGTGGTTTCTCTCCACTAACCACAGATGGAAACAAAATGACCAGCTTCAAGAAGTTCCTCACTTTTAGGTAGCTAGCATTCCTGAAAAAGTGAAATACACTTGGCTTCAGTGACTATGTGATGATTGACTCATCTTTAGGTGTGCTCCTGCCAACACTTAAACCTTCAGTTAACTGTGCAGCATCCTCATGGTAGGTAAGACTGAAAAGTAACACCATGAAGCTGCTGTGTGAATGAACTGGCACTTACTTTTTAAGATTTACATGCCTTATATACTGATCCCAGCAGTATGTCTGTACTCTGGCTGGGAAATAGGTCTCATTTTATAACAAAATGAAGTTTTTTCTCATACTTCCTCTTCCTACCAAAATGTGTTCTAGTTAAAGGACAATTTTTCTCAGATGAGCACAACTGGGATATTTTGCTCATGAAATGGTAAATTATACACTTAAGCATGAATTTCCCAGCACAGGTTTTATGAAGACAATAATTTCTTTGCCAAAAAAGGAGCTTCTTTAATAAAGTGCAAAAAAGTAAACAGTTACATGGTAAAAATATTAGGAGTAAGAAGTTAAAATTTTACATGCATCTCTGTTTTTCATATTTATAATTATGTTTTTTTTTTATTTGATACTATACAATTTTGGGCTTCTCATTATCATATTGATTAACTGAAAGGAATAGGAACAGAAAATAATAAAGGACTATGTAGGTGTAATTCGTAAGTGTTGATGTCAAGAATAAAAACCAGTTAGCCTGGTCAAATAAAGTTAAAGGCAGAGATAATAGGTGTGAACCTAAACTATATTCCAGTACAGCAAAAAGCAGCACAGATATGTAGTCTTTTTGTGTGATATGAGAGGCACAGAACAAACAAAACCAATAAAAAGTTCAGATTTTCAGGATAATAACCCCACTTCACTAAAGTCTAATGGACAGTGGAGTAC